TGCTCTCCCAGTTTCCAAGCCCAGATAGCCCTCCTCTGTTGTTTAGTTCCTGGACTGGCAAACATCGCCAGGGAAAGCACATCACCAGACAGACTGAATCCATGACTAAGGAGTGGATTCCAGCCACCACGGGGCTCAGAAAGATTCAAACATCCTCAGGCAGTTCTCATTGCCATTCCCCAGATTTTCACTCTCCTCGTGCTTTCTTTCACTCAAACTATAGCCACATGTCTTTTCTTTTCCATAAAATGTCTTAAAAGTAGTCGGCACATATTGTCTTTGTACCCTTTATTCCTTACTGACTCCCTGCCTTAACCCCTCTGTTATACTCAAACTGGTCTTAGGTGTCACCGATGCCTTCCTGATTGGGAAATCCCACAGCCCTTGCTTTAGTCAATTCTATTTAATCAACAGTGTCGATCATACCTTTTAAACTCCTTTCTCTCTTGACTTCCGTAAAGCTCCTCTCTCCCATTTTCTATCCTCACTTTGACCAACCTCACAATTTCATTCATGACCTCCTCTTCCTCATACCTTCCATGAATGCGACTGTTCTTTAGAATATTTTCTACCACTACCGTGTCTAAAAACACTCCATATCAATTCCATGCACTCTCAGTATTTTTATCTCTAAATAAATGACTTCTGCCCAGGTCTTTATATTGAGCCTCAGACCTGTATAACTAACCACTCAGTGTGCTGGCTCACTAGAGGGGAGAAAAATCACATTTTGGAGTATTTGCTGAATTCAAGCCACCCACATGAAGTCACTGCAGAGAGAGCTGGAAAATGGGCACAGTGGCTCTCTCGAGCAGGGATAAGTTGACTTCACACACCACTTGGTACCCAAGGGCAAAGGGTCTCAAACTATTTTTTTGACATACTGCAGAAAAGAGGTTTTATGTCAGTTACATATATATGCTATGGAAACCAAGTTCTATGAAACAGCACTAAACTTTGCCACATGTGATGCACTTTAAAAGTTGTCATGTTCCATTTCATTAAAAAATATTTGTACCCACTCACCAAGTAGATTTCATAAGCCATCAGTGGTTCAAGACCCACAATTTATAAACATCATCCTTGGGTCTTTCAAACTCAATATGCACAGAATTGTGTTTATGATCCCACTTCTACAACCTGTTCCTTTTCCCTAATTTCCTGTGTCAATCAATGGCTCCATCATCTACCTGGTTTCCCCAGCTAGAAATCTCACGGCCATTTTGGACTCATCCCTCTGCTTTATCCCTCATGGCCATTCCTGCCTTATTCATATCTCTCAAGTAGATCTTCCAGTCTCAGTCCCCACTGTCATTATCCTGTTTTATATCACCTTTCACATAATAGTCTCCTAATTCATCCCCTGCTTTTGGTTTCTCCAATCTCAACTTATCTTTTTTCAGTTCAAAGCCATCTTCTAAAAATAAGTACTGCTACTGCTCTGCTTAAAAACTCTGATGGTTCCTCATTGCCCCCAAATATTTCTTATTCATTCAGAAAACATCTATTGGGCAACTACTGTGGGCCAGACTCTGTATTGGACACAGGGGAATAAAAATGCCATGGTTCCTATCCTCAAGGAGCTTACAGTCCGAACTCCACTGCATTACTGAGAAGACTCTTTTAGTAGTTCCAGCTTACCTTTTCACCTTACCTTCTGCTCCAGCCTGTCTATACACCTGATGCTCTTGTCACAGTAGAGGACTGGACATCACCAAGGTGTATCCTCCACTTCTAGGCTCCGGTGCCTTGGCTCATGCAGTCCCACATTCTATGGGATGCCTTCTTCTTCCTTCTAGATGAACTCCTACTCATTCTTGAAAGCCTCTGTCTTGGTGAAGCCTTCCTTTTCACAAGTTCCTATTCAAAAATTTTAAATATTGAGTCAATGTAATCATGCCCATATCCCAAATAGTTAAATAGTACTCAGGTGCTAAAAGAGAGAAGCCAGAGTCTCCCACCTCAACTCACCCCAACCCCAGCCCAATTCCCCAAAGGTAATCACCCTTAATGATTTTCCTTTTTAGGTATCTGGTGATCTCCATGTTTGCAAAATAGTATGCTATATTATTATTTCTTGGTGTATCATCCTAAGCACTGTCTATCTAATTTCTACTAGGAGAGTGAGCCTTTAGCTCACATCCATCCTGGTCCTATCTCTTCTCTCCTCTAACCCTCCTAATAGAGTTACATCTCTCTACTCAGGCCCTCCACTACATCTCTGCTCTGCAAAGTCACTGTGCATCCAGACCTTTACTTTTTCTTCTACTAACTATGGACATTATCTCTTTTGACTCTTGACATTTTCCAAAATGAGACCCTTAGTAACTCAACCTTTTCTCCATCCTAGTAGGCCTCACTTCTACCTCCTTCTACCTACTTACCTATAGGTACTTCTACATTTTAAAAATCAATCATATTTACATTCTCCTGTATAATCATAGTTCATTTTTCTTTGGCTTGTTTAAAAGGTGTTTCTAAGAGTTGAAAACCAGTAAGCATGCTTGCACTGTTAGACTAGTGAATGTTGTTTTCGATCATCTAGTGGAATACTCTGATCATACTTTCTTCTCTGGTCCGTTCAGAGAAATATATTTTTAGATTTCAGGTTTAATAGTGTCTCCACCCAATAGCTCAAAATCAATCCATTTTAAATTATATCACACTTACATCATGCCTTTCCTGGACATTTTCCCTCTTGGAGTTTCTAGTTTTAACTTTAATTGTCTTTAATTTTAAATTTAAGTAATTTAATCTTTTAATTTTTTCTTTTGCATTCTGTTACCTTCTAAGGGCCTCGAGGGTTTCCAAGTTCCCAATCATACTTTTAGTTTTATTGAATCCCATTGTTTCTTCCAGCTTCATTACTTTAATCAGGATGGGTTAGTTTCCAGACCGTCACCCTGGGGCTTCCCTCCTCGGCTCATCTGGCTTGGAGCCTCTTTTCCTTGGATCCTGTGCAGTGCGAATGCCTTTCACTTCCATCCCTTCCAAGGAGAATTAATAACTCACTTCTCAGAAACCGCACAGTCCTTGTATTTACCTACAAGGGCTCACTTGCTATGGTGTGATTTCCTTAGCCTCCAGGGGTAGTCATCCTTGAAATGGTACCTAACATACAGTTTGCCCTCAATAAACACTATTTGAAAACACTATGGAGCACATTATTACTATTTATTCCAAAATCTTGATTGAGGACAGAGTCATCAGTTTTTTTCATGTTAAGGAGTAAAGAAGCACTTCTATATTGATGGGAAATGGGAGTAAGAATTAAGAGATAAGAAACAGCTCAACAAAGAATCAATTTATAAACACAAGTACCTTATTTTTTTCACTACATCAAAACAAAAAAAACCCCATATCAGATCCACCTTATAACCTGTATGTCTATGTTGACTTGCCATCCTTTGGAATGTGAGGCCCATTCTTTATTCATTTCACTGGACTAGGGTTGTCAGAAAAATTACAGGAAGCCCAGTTAAATTTGAATTTCAAATAAACAACACATAATTTTGAGTATAAATAGGTTCCAAATATTGTATGGAACCTTCTTATACTAAAACCTTTTTGTCATTTGTCTGAAATTCAAATTTAACTGGATGTCCTGTATTTCATTTGCTAAATCTGGCAACCCTACACTGGGGACCTTCTCAGGACATTAACCTGCTAAATGCCAACCAGTCTGACCTCCTCAGAGAGAGTAATCTGATTACAATGGGAGGAAGCACAGAGTTGACATGGAAAGAAAGAAAGAAAATATTTCATACTTGCCTTCAAGACCTGCTTTCAAAGCCCACCACCTTTTTTAGGTGTGATGATGAATTTTCTGATTGTGTCTTCTGAATCTTCATCCTGTCTTAAGGTTAAAGGGAGGAGGTCCTTAGAGACCTCTTACGTAGTGTATCATGTACACTTTTAGATTAATATTCTGGGGCAATTTGTTTCATAGGCGGTTATCCCAGGAAGCACAGGAAATTGTCATTAGGCTGAGATAGTTTAAATGTTCACCTATTGTCAGGTTTAAATAAGTCGCTGCTTCTTTAAAGATAATACTATTAGACAGCACTGTGTATGCTCTGTCCTAAGCATTTCACATACATTTGCATTTCGTTCTAACAAGGTGCCTCTGACTAATGTACTTTGATTATCTCCGTTTTACCCTTGAGGAAGCTGAGAAGCAGAAAGGATAAAGAACTTGCCCAAAGTGACATCACTAACAAGTGTGAGAAAGGAGCTATAATCCATGCCTTCTTAATCTGGAGTCCTCCAAATAAAAATAAAATAAATTTCATCTACAGTCCTGTCAACCTCGCCAAAAAGCCAAAAATCACTAGTTAAAAACATAAAACATTAACTCCACCCATGAATGTCAAGCTACTTTCTCTGAGTCTCTAACTGAAGCTTTAAATGAATATTTTAAAATTAGAAAGTTGGAGTGAGGAGAAAGCTTTGGAAAATGAAGGAAGGAATTTCAGCGAAACCGCAAAGAACTGGGTTAAGCTGAGCTATCAGATGGCCCCTTTTCACACCATTTCCCCCCAAGTCATAAAAGCTCTTCCTGATTGCCCTTCACTGTATTTCCACGGAGAAATGAAACTAACTCAGTGGCAGGCCTTCCAAGCCGGAGCATAGTCCACATAATTTCTAGTTCCAGTGTACTATAAAACGGAAAGCGGACTGCGCAAGGCACTGCGGATTGCAGATGGAAACAGAGTAACCGGGAATTTAGTGAAACGAGCAAGGTCGGCGCGATGGGGGGTTGAATGGAACTGGGAAAGATCTGATCGGAATAGAGTCTGAGAACAGGAACTGGGGGCGCAGCACCCGCTCTCTGCACGCGTGGGTCGGTCCCGGGGGGGAAGGGGGTTAAGTTAACCCGCGGGTCCAGATTGCAGACCGCCAGCCCTGGGAGGGTGCTGTGTTCGCCGAGCTCGCCCGCGTCCCAGCGCCTCTGCTGGTGGGAGGACGGTGGCCTCAGCTCCACCCCTTCCCTCCTCCTGCGGCGCCGGGGGAGGTCAGAGTCGGGGCGACCAGACGGCGTGGGGCAGAAGGAGCGCGAAGCCAGCGCGCAGCCCCTCGCCCGCCGCCCCGCGGCCACGGTGACCCGGTGACAGCGGGCGACAGAGCCCGTGGTACTGGCAGCGAGCAAGCAGCGGAAGGGGTCGGCGCGCCCGGTCCCGGTTCCCGCGAGCAGCTCATCGCGGTGCCCGGGTGAGGAGGTACCCCGGGGCGGGTGGGAGCCGGGGGTTGCCGCCGGCTGGGGGGCTGGGAGGTTGGGGGCTGAAAGGATGGGGATGGGAGGATGGGGGAGGATGGGGGTTGGAGGGCTGGGACCCCGCCCGCACCCACCTCCAAGCCGGAGCTGGGCTCGCCTTCCCTGCCGCCCTCCGAACAGCTCTGGGATCTTTGCGGGGAGGGTGATGGACTTCGAGCCCTACCCTGAGTCTGCGGGAGGCTTGTTTTTAAAAAGCCAAACAGAACCAGAAAGCAGAGAACATTCTCTTCCCCGTCATCACCTGGAGCCTCTCACAGACCTTTCTAGCTCTAAAAACGAAAAGGTCAGGCTTTCATTCAGACCTCTGACTTCCGAGGTGGCTGCGGAAATGGGAGGAAGGAGGAGGGAGAGGTGTGTGGGCTCATATGGGGGCTGGGAGCCCTTGAGGGACTTACGTGTTCAGGTTCGAGAGGGATTTGTGTTAACAAATCAGTATTGAACAAATTACCTTTGACCCCAATAAGAATGCTGAGCCAGGAGGTTGGTCTATGAGTAGGAGCTGGGAAATGCACCCCTTCAAAGTGTTGACAGTTACAAAGGCCTGGAACCTAATCTTGGGCTAACACTGAACTCAGGGATCCGAGCATTGAGTATTGGCCTGGTCCATAGGAAGGGGAAGGGGATGGCCTTCTTTTTTTTTTAAATTTAATTTTATTTATTTATCTTTTATACAGCAGGTTCTTCTTAGTTATCTATGTTATACATATTAATGTATATATGTCAATTCCAATCTCCCAATTCATCCCACCCCCACCCCCACTTTCCCCCCTTGGTGTCCATACATTTGTTCTCTACATCTCTGTCTCTATTGCTGCCTTGCAAACCAGTTCATATGTACCATTTTTCTAGATTCCACATATATGCGTTAATATACGATATTTCTTTTTCTCTTTCTGACTTACTTCACTCTGTATGACAGTCTCTAGGTCCATCCATGTCTCTACAGATGACCCAATTTCGTTCCTTTTTATGGCTGAGTAATATACCATTGTATATACATGTACCGCATCTCCTTTGTCCATTCGTCGGTCGATAGGCATTTAGGTTGCTTCCATGACCTGGCTATTATAAATAGTGCTGCAATGAACACTGGGGTGCATGTGTCTTTTTGAATTATGGTTTTCTCTGTGTGTATGCCTGGTAGTGGGATTGCTGGGTCATATGGTAATTCATTTTGAGTTTTTTAAGGAACCTCCATGCTGTTCTTCACAGTGACTGTATCAATTTACATTCCCACCAACAGTGCAAGAGGGTTCCCTTTTCTCTACACCCTCTCCAGCAACTGTTCTTTGTAGATTTTCTGATGATGCCCATTCTAACTGGTATGAGGTGATACCTCATTGTAGTTTTGATTTGCATTTCTCTAATAATTAGTGATGTTGAGCAGCTTTTCATGTGCCTCTTGGCCATCTGTATGTCTTCTTTGGAGAAATGTCTATTTAGGACTTCTGCCCATTTTTTGATTGAGTTGTTTGTTTTTTTAATGTTGAGCTGCATGAGCTGTTTATATATTTTGGAGATTAATCTTTTGTCCGTTGATTCGTTTGCAGATATTTTCTCCCATTCTGAGGGTTGTCTTTTTGTCTTGTTTATAGTTTCCTTTGCTGGGCAAAAGCTTTTAAGTTTCATTAGGTCCCATTTGTTTATTTTTGTTTTTATTTCCATTACTGTAGGAGGTGGGTCAAAAGAGATCTTGCTGTCATTTATGTCTAAGAGTGTTCTATCTATGTTTTCCTCTAAGAGTTTTATAGTGTCCGGTCTTAGATTTAGGTCTTTAATCCATTCTGAGTTTATTTTTGTGTATGGTGTTAGGGAGTGTTCTAATTTCATTCTTTTGCCCGTAGCTATCCAGTTTTCCCAGCACCACTTATTGAAGAGACTGTATTTTCTCCATCGTATATGCTTACTTCCTTTGTCATAGATTAGTTGACCATAGGTGTGTGGGTTTATCTCTGGCTTTCCATCTTGTTCCATTGATCTATATTTCTGTTTTTGTGCCACACCATATTGCCTTGATTACTGTGGCTTTGTAGTATAGTCTGAAGTCAGGGAGTCTGATTTCTCCAGCTCCGCGTTTTTCCCTCAAGACTGCCTTGGCTACACGGGGTCTTTTGTGTCTCCATACAAATTTTAATATTTTTTGTTCTACTTCTGTAAAAAATGCCACTGGTAATTTGATAGGGATTGCATTGAATCTGTAGATTGCTTTGGGTAGTATAGTCATTTTGACAAGACTGATTCTTCCAATCCAAGAACATGGTATATCTCTCCATCTGTTTGTATCATCTTTGATTTCTTTCATCAGTGCCTTATAGTTTTCTGAGTACAGGTCTTTTACCTCCTTAGGTAGGTTTATTCCTAGGTATTTTATTCTTTTTGTTGCAATGGTGAATGGGATTGTTTCCTTAATTTCTCTTTCTGATCTTTCATTGTTAGTGTATAGGAATGCAAGAGATTTCTGTGCATTAATTTTGTATCCTCTTACTTTACCAAATTCATTGATTAGCTCTAGTAGTGTTCTGGTGTCATCTTTAGGATTCTGTATGTTTAGTATCATGTCATCTGCAAACAGTGGCAATTTTACTTGTTCTTTTCCAATTTGTATTCCTTTTATTTCTTTTTCTTCTCTGATTGCTGTGGCTAGGACTTCCAAAACTATGTTGAATAATAGTGGTGAGAGTGGACATCCTTGTCTTGTTCCTGATCTTAGAGGAAATGCTTTCAGTTTTTCACCATTGAGAATGATGTTTGCTGTGGGTTTGTCCTATATGGTCTTTATTATGTTGAGGTAGGTTCCCTCTGTGCCCACTTTCTGGAGAGTTTTTATCATAAACAGGTGTTGAATTTTGTCAAAAGCTTTTATTGCATCTATTGAGATGATCATATGTCTTTCATTCTTCAGTTTGTTAATATGGTGTATCACATTGATTGATTTGCCTATATTGAAGAATCCTTGCCTCCCGGGGTTAATCCTACTTGATCATGGTGTATGATCCTTTTAATGTGTTGTTGGATTCCATTTGCTAGTATTTTGTTGAGGATTTTTGCATCTATATTCATCACTGATATTGGTCTGTAACTTTATTTTTTTGTGGTAACTTTGTCTGGTTTTGGTATCAGCGTGATGGTGGCCTTGTACAACAAGTTTGAGAGTGCTCCTGCCTCTGCAATTTTTTGGAAGAGTTTGAGAAGGATGGGTGTTAGCTCTTCTCTAAATGTTTGATAGAATTCACCTGTGAAGCCCTCCGGTCCTGGGCTTTTGTTTGTTGGAAGGTTTTTAATCACAGTTTCAATTTCATTACTTGTGATTGGTCTGTTCATATTTTCTATTTCTTCCTGGCTCAGTTTTGGAAGGTTATAGCTTTCTAAGAATTTGTCCATTTCTTCCAGGTTGTCCATTTTATTGGCATAGAGTTGCTTGTAGTAGTCTCTTAGGATGCTTTGTATTCCTGTGGTGTCTGTTGTAACTTCTTTTTCATTTCTAATTTTATTGATTTGAACCCTCTCCCTCTTTTTCCTGATGAGTCTGACTAAAGGTTTATCAATTTTGTTTATCTTCTCAAAGAACCTTTAGGTGTAAAATTAGATTGTTTATCTGAGATTTTTCTTGTTTCTTGAGGTAGGCTTGTATTGCTATAAACTTCCCTCTTAGAACTGGGTTTGCTGCATCCCATAGGTTTTGGATCATCGTGTTTTCATTGTCATTTGTCTCTAGGTATTTTTTGACTTCCTCTTTGATTTCTTCAATGATCTCTTGGTTATTTAGGAACGTATTGTTTAGCCTCCATGTGTTTGTTTTTTACGTTTTTTTTCACTGTAATGGATTTCTAATCTCATAACGTTGTGGTCAGAAAAGAAGCTGGATATGATTTCAATTTTCTCAAATTTACTGAGGCTTGATTTGTGACCCAAGATGTGATCTATCCTGGAGAATGTTCCATGTGCACTTAAGAAGAAAGTGCAATCTGCTGTTTTCGGATGGAATGCCCTATAAATATCAACTATATCTGGTCTATTGTGTCATTTAAAGCTTGTGTTTCCTTATTAATTTTCTGTCTGGATAATCTGTCCAGTGGTGTAAGTGAAGTGTTAAAGTCCCCCACTATTGTTGTGTTACTGACAATTTCCTCTTTTATAACTATTAGCATTTGCCTTTTGTATTGATGTGCTTCTATGTTGGGTGCATATATATTTATAATTGTTACATCTTCTTCTTGAATTGATCCCCTGATCATTGATCATTATGTAGTGTCCTTCCTTGTCTCTTATAACATTCTTTGTTCTAAAGCCTATTTTATCTGATATGACTATTGCTACTCCAGCTTTCTTTTGATTTCCACTTGCATGGAATATATTTTTCCATCCCCTCACTTTCAGTCTGCATGTGTCCCTAGGTCTGAAGTGGGTCTCTTGTAGACAGCATATATAAGGGTCTTGTTTTTGTATCCATTCAGCCAGTCTGTGTCTTTTGGTTGGAGCATTTAATCCATTCACATTTAAGGTAATTATCAATATGCATGTTCCTATTCCCATTTTCTTAATTGTTTTGGGTTTGTTTTTGTAGGTCCTCTTCTTCTCTTGTCTTTCCCACTTAGAGAAGTTCCTTTAGCATTTGTTATAGAGCTGGTTTGCTGGTGCTGAATTCTTGTAGCTTTTGCTTGTCTGTAAAGCTTTTGATTTCTCTGTCAAATCTGAATGAGATCCTTGCCCAGTAGAGTAATCTTGATTGTAGGTTCTTCCCTTTCATCACTTTAAATATATCGTGCCACCCCCTTCTGGCTTGTAGAGTTTCTGCTGAGAAATCAGCTGTTAGCCTTATGGGAGTTCCCTTGTATGTTATTTGTCATTTTTCTCCTGTTGCTTTTAATATTTTTTCTTTGTCTTTAATTTTTGTCAATTTAATTACCATGTGTCTGGGCGTGTTTCTCCTTGGGTTTATCCTGGGACTCTCTGCACTTCCTGGACTTGGGTTGCTATTTTCTTTCCCATGTTAGGGAAGTTTTCGACTATAATCTCTTCAAATATTTTCTTGGGTCCTTCCTCTCTCACTTCTCTTTCTGGGACCCCTATCATGCGAATGTTGGTGCATTTAATGTTGTCCCAGAAGTCTCTTAGGCTGGCTTCATTTCTTTTCATTCTTTTTTCTTTATTCTGTTCCATGGCAGTGAATTCCACTATTCTGTCTTCCAGGTCACTTACCCGTTCTTCTGCCTCAGTTATTCTGCTATTGTTCCTCATTATGACCGCTCAACAATCGCTTTCCCTGCTAGGGATTTTAAAGACAAAAATCACATCTATTTTTGAAATCTTTTAATCCGAAACATAGTGACTGACACATAGTCACTCTTAAAATTGAGGAAATGGACTCGTGAACAAATGCATAAATGAGGCAGCCAGTCATTGAATTATTTGGAGAATTATTACTCTGGGAATGAGGTCAGATAGCACATATATAGGGTGATGAAAAAAACTCAGCAAACAGTACTCTTAGTGTTCCATTGCAGACATTTCCAAACACTGCCTCCTGGTACTGGCTATACCAGAGCCCATAGGGAGCTAACATATAGATGCCTGGACCTGCCTTCTGAAGATTCTGCATCAGAAAGTCTGCGATGGGTCTCAGGAGTCAGCGTGTTCAAAGGTTCTGCAAGAGCCTTGCAGCCTGCCTGAGGTCAGGCAGGGAACTGGCGCGGGCCATTTCACCTGGCCTTAACTCTGCCGGTTCCACCATAAGGACAAAAGGTGATGGCCCTGGCACTGGTCTGGTAGGAATCATGGGGAGGGCAGAGCACCCCAGTCCTGCTTGGAGGACTCGGGGGAGCCCTGCTAGCCATTGGCTGTCTCTAATTCTTCCTGAGGTTATTGACAGGGAAGATGTGATGAATACCCAAGTTGCTACAGGCAAGGGAGCCTTCTTGGGGTTAGTGCAGGGTTCCTAAAAAATCACTGTTGATTCCTCATGTGTTTCACTTTGTCTTCTCTTTTTCACCTCTTCATCCCTCGTGATCTTCCAATGGGCTGAACGACACTCCCCTTATTCAGCCTGGGCTATAAGCACCAGGAGTGGTAAATACTGTCTGTGGATGATGTTACTTGATGAAAATCCAAGTGGTGACATTGTAACAGAGGGGTAGCAGTGGAGGCTTGTGAGGATCCAGCCTGGCTTCAGTGCAACTTCTTCTATTGCTTATTTGGGAAACTTAGCTATGTCTCGGGATTCATACACAGTACTCTGAAGTTTCCAAGCATCTTGGCATGTTGCTCCAATAAAAATTAGGGCAAGAACAACGAGACAAGAGTCTCATCTCTTTGGAGAACAATTTCTAATTCTTTGTTAAGTCATCTCTCAATCCAGCTCTGACCAGTTTAGCATCATTAAAATAACTGTTCTGTTCATTAACTTTAGAAGATTTTGGTTTTAGAGTGAACAGAATTTGACATTATATCAAGATGCCACGTGGTGGGTAAAAGCTGGCATTCAGGCAATCTGGGCTTAAGCTCTACCTCCGGCACTTGCTAGCTGTGTGATTAGAGTCAGTTAAACTTTTCTGGCCTCAGTTTCCTCATCAATAGAATGGGGATAATTAAACTTCCCTGACAGATTGTTTTGGTGATGATTGAGTAAGGGACCATGTGCCAGAAACTGTGCAAAATACTTGGCACTTAGTAAGTGTTCAAATGTTAGCAATATTATCATCTATTTAGTGAGCAAACTTTTTTTTAGCAACTCCTAGGTGCCATTTTTAAATAAAAAGACAAATTATAGTGCTAGGTACTCATATGAAAAGATATTTATATTTTCAAATTAAAAATGGAAGTTGAATATATTGTACGACGTTTTATAAACAAACTTTAAAACTATACATGTATGTATATTTATATGTATGGGTGTATATGTTTGTCTGTATTGTGTATGTGTACATGTATTTACGCATGGAAACGCATCTGGAAAAACATCTGTTGGCAAGGGATTATTAGTGCAGAGACAGCTCCATTTTTTAATTTACTTTATTGTCATGGTTGAATTTTGAAGTCATGTATTAACGTTATAATAAAATTGAAAATAATAGTGAAATAAGATAAAATGAAGTCAATATTATAAATGATCTAAGGAGTTAAACTGTACATGCTTTTTCTGATTCCCTCCACCCGCCTAAAAATAGATATGGAATACGGAAATGCCAGACTCACTCTACAAATAACCAAGAAGCTTAGAGCTCCAGGGACAGTTTTCCCAGCTACGTATCTGGATTTTTAGCCTGTGTGATAAGAGCTGACCTTTCTATAGCCCTGTCTCCTCTGAAATCTTTCTCTCCGAATTCCTGTTGCCCTGAGAATTTGTACCGTATCATCTAAGAATTTGGAAATGTCCCTGTCATTTGCTTTCTTCCTGTATTATAGATGTGAGTCTTGTTTCTGAATCCTTATTGTAAGCTCTTTTAGAGCAGGGATTATGTCAAATTCTCCGGTATTTACCACAGTTGTTGACATAGCAGAGGGTGTGTAGCATTTGCTTAGTAAGTACCCATTGACTGAATGACTGCAGATCTGATGTTACTCAGAATCGGCCCTGTTGCACTGTCATAATGGAAAACAACTTAACCTGGAGATTTCAATGGGTTAATACAACAAAGGTTTATTTCTTGTTCATAAAAGGCCATGTAAACTGGCAGAGGCTCTTTTCTGCTCAGTGATGAAGGATCCAGACTTCCTCCATCTGGAGACACACATGTGGCTTCTAAGTTTGTTGAATGAAGGAAAGGAAGGAATGGAGAGACATACTGACGCATAAATGTCCTAGGCCACTTCCATTCAAATTCCCATTTATCGGAAATCAGTCCCGTCTAGCTACCAGGGAGGCCAGGAAATTCGGGGGAGCACATAGCTACTCAGGAACACTGATTGCTGTGCCACGGATCTGCATCTTCCTGCAGAATAACCATGCCAGCTAGTTAGTACCCCATTCGTATCAGTGGGACAAACACCCACATGGATCATTAAACATGGCTCAGTTTATGTGAGTAACCGATGTGTTAGAAGCTACCAGGATTCAGAATTTATCCATGCAGCAGGCATTTACTGGTGCCTACTCTGTGCCGGGCACTGTTGTAGGTCCTGGGAAAACAGCAGGGAAAACAACAACAACAAAAAACCCAGCCCCAATTCCCTATGCTCACAGAATTGACTTGCTGGAAGAGGAAGATAAACAATTAACAAGTAATCCAGAGAATCTCTATTGGTGATAATATTATGCAGAAGAATAAAGCAGTTGGGGAAACAGGGCACGTATTGGTGTATGTGTTGGGGGGTAGATTGTAATTTTAAACTGGTCAGGGAAAGCCTCACTGAGAAGGTAACATGGAAGCAAAAACCTAGGAGTGAGGGAGCCGGTTATTTGGGTGTCAGGGCAAAGAGCCTTCCTGAAAGAGGAACACAGGTACAGATCCCAAGGTGGGACAAGAGGGTGCCTGAAATGTTTGCTGGATGGCAAGGAAGACGTGTAGTTGCAGGGAGTATGTGGGTGAGTGTGCAGGAGAGGCTGGGATGTCTGCTCAGGAGTCTGTTGAGTACAGGCTGTAGAGCCTTATATGTTACTTTAAGATCTGTGGCTTCTGCTCTGTGTCATGTGAAGCCATTTGGGGGCTTTGAGCACAAGGAATGGCATGATCACTCTGGCTGCTATATTGGGAATTGACCATAGGGTTCGGGGAGACCAGTGACAGGTTATTGCAAAATTCAAGAATGACATGGTGATGGCTTGGACCATTTCCATCACCCCAAAAAGAGGGGAGAAATTTTCAAGGGGAAAAGTGATTCACAAATACAAGATAGTTTTTGCTGATAAGATGTTGGCAAAGAGCCTCCCTGTAATATAATTTATTATCATCACAAGTCCAGTTGTATTCATCAGTGCTACCGACATTTATCCCACACAAGCTGCATGCCAGGACCCCTGTTAGGCACTTGGGACAGCAAGTAAGATCTGCCCCCTGCCTTTGGGAGGCTCTCAGTCATAGCAGGGTTATAGAGATCCCCCCAAATATAACATCATCAGCACCAAAAACACACCCAGCTGCTGCAACACGATTATTTTACAAACGTGATGGAAACGTTAGCCAAAACATACTGAGGGTTTACTAGGTGCTAGACATGCCCTTGGATATGATTATGATTATGATATGTGATAAAATTATTATAGTTTGATGCTCTTCTTTCTAACCAAACTAGACTGCTACAAAGTTAGGGAACTAGTGGCCGAAAACCTAATATTATAACCTAAAAGTGTTATTTCTGGGCTCTGCAATCCAGCATGACCAAGAACTCTGACACCCTAGTGCCTCCCAAAAACCCATTCTAGAAAATGCATGTGCAGTTTTTTCCCAAATGTCTTCTCCCTTTATAACACACGGAATCATGTTACTAGTCCTTTAATCTCACTGATAGGTTAGCCTATTTAAGTCCTCGTTGTTGCATGTCTTTTTTTTCCTTTTAATCATCTGCCTTGAAGAAGGTTAAGCTGAAACGGCTGCTCAGCTTCCAAGATGTTGCCACCCAAACTGCACGCGCTTTTCTGCCTCTGCACCTGCCTCACGCTGGTTCATCCCTTTTACTGGCAAGACCTAAATCCTGTTGCCTATATTGAATCATCAGGTAAGAGGTATATTTGTTCAAGGGCTTGAGCCACTGACCTGTTGCCAGACTCGAAGTGGTCCCAGGGAAGTTGCACGTGTGGACTTCTAAGAAGATTCTGATGAAGATGAGATCCTCAGTTCTCCCGGGGGAGGGGGGAGGGCCTCACTCTTTCCTCTTCTTAATGAAACTAGAGGAGTGCCTTCTTCTTCAACATCAGGACTGCAGGACAGCCTAGGATGAGGCCTTTTCAGACAAGCTGGAACCTCAGCGTGCAGTCACCGTAGAGAAGGTCTACACTGCCCCTTCTATACCTCATTGCCCTAACTCACGCCCTCTCCGTGCAGTAACACACTTCCCCTGAAGTGCCTTCAGAGGCAACCCCAAACCTGCCCCCACGAAGGTGAAGGAGAGGCAGGAGTCTTGATCAACAGGTGAAGTCCTGGTTGATGGTGGAGTGTGTGAGAAGATGGCGATTTAGAGTTTGGGATCCAGAGGCGGACAATCTTTTCTATCTAATGACAGACAGGAGCAGGGACCAGTAGGCACTCGGAGCTCCAGATGAGCATGGATGTGCATCCCTTGCTCTTTCTTACTTTGCAGGGTGGAGGGAAGGAGAAGAGGGGGAGGCTTAGTCAAGCCCAGGAGTGGCGGCCAGAATGGGACAGCCATCTCTAGACAGGGACATCTCCTGTCACCCAGAATAACCTTGATTGAAAAGCGATTCCTTCTGGAGCTTTGTGAATTCCTGCTAATCCCAGAGGGCTGGGATGCATGAACTTCTCTATCTAGTCTCCTCAGGTGAGCAGCATCAGCGGCCTCTGCAAGGTGCCATACTGTCTGTACCACAGACGCACGCACCTGGGGAGATAGGGCAGCCCTGGATCTAGTTGTGCGGTCTTGACGGGTGACTCCTTACTGTGACATTTACCAAAGATCTTTCATAACCAGTGCCTTACAAATCTGGCCTTGCTTCATAGTTGGGGAAATGATTGCAACAGCAGAAAAGGGACCAGATCTTCTATCTATGTTTGCATAGGAAATGGCATCATATCTCACAGGTCCATTCATGCAACAATACTTATCAGAGAACTGAGGTGTGTGTAATACACTGGTGATTAAGACAGAGGGCTTGTAGTCAAGCTCAAGGAGGTTAAATTAATTCTCCCATTCCCTTATCTGTATGTTGAAAACAGGTAACATCTTACATGACGAGCAAATTCTTACCTAGGAGACATTTGCCTCATGTGCTTTTTATTGGCACAGAGTGGGAATTTCAAAACATGTTCTCTATTCCCTCACATCTGAAAATCACTGGAAAGCTGTTACTGGACAGTCAGAAACTTGAGGACACGCTTGATTCATCTTTGTCATCCCAGCCTGGAGCCCAATGCCCCATTCATTTGAACTACTCAAAAATGAATGCATAAATATTTTTAAAATTATGCATAAATAAATTTAAAATTATTAGAAATAGTTTATTCAATAAAAGATGAAAATAATAGATGATTATTTGTATCATTCTTAATAAGTGAATACATAGAAAATATGATCATGCAGCCAAAAAGTTTGTAAACATGGCTAGAGATATCCCATTCGCTAATGGAGGACATAAAGCCATATAAGAGAGTGTCATTTTCCAAGCACGTGTACATTCCATCTCCAACCCCAGGAATGAACATCAGGACTATCTGATAAATGAACATCACCAAAAATGTATAATAAGATTAACAGCATACCATAGGTTCTAATGCTCCTATTAAAATAGAGTTGAAGAAAAATAGGAAGTGACATTTGTAAGTTCTGAACCACAAAACTATATCATCTACAGAGTGGCCGTTCAACCTGGCAAGTCTCTTCCCTGCCTCTTCCTTCATGATGAGTGCTGATAGTTGGTTAGAGAATGGGAAATCTAGGACCATGACCAGATTAGCTGCGGGCTGGTGAACCTTTTCTTTCTTTTTCTTTTCTTTCCTTCCTTCCTTCCTTCCTCCCTCCCTCCCTCCCTCCCTCCCTTCCTTCCTCTTTCTTTCTTTCTTTCTTTCTTCCTTTCTTCCTTCCTTCCTTCCTTCCTTCCTTTCTTCCTTTCTTTCTTTCTTTTCTTTCTTTCCTTCTTTCTTTTTTTCTTTCCTTTCTTTCTTTTTCTTTCTTTCTTTCTTGTTTATTTTATTGAAGTATAGTTTATTTACAATGTTGTGTTTAATTTCTGCTGTACAGCAAAGTGACTCAGTTATACATATATATTCTTTTTCATATTCTTTTCCATTATGGTTTATCACAGGATATTGAATACAGCTCCCTGTGCTGTACAGTAGGACCTTGTTGTTTGGTGAACCTTTTCTGCAGCCTCCCTGGCACTCACCAGCCACAGGGCCCTGGAGGCCTACACTCAAACCTGGGTCAGCTCAAAGTTTCCTGAGACCTTTTCAGGGGTCAGATGTCCTGGAATACACCTCTCACAGTCCAACAGAAGGAAAGGAGCAGGCAAGCTGAATCTAGAAAACTGAATCCAGATACACTGATATATGGACTCACCATCCTGAAATTACATGAGGACTTGATTGGGGGTTAGAAAGGGGAACAGGTGAAACTGCAGGTGTGTTAAAGGGTTTTGGCACCAGAGAGAGAAAATGTTTCAAGAGTGGGTGGGTAAAAGAATAGAGGCCATGGGCCTTCCCTGGTGGTGCAGTGGTTAAGAGTCCACTTGCCAATGCAGGGGACACGGGTTCGAGCCCTGGTCCGGGAAGATCCCACATGCTGCGGAGCAACTAAGCCTGTGTGCCACAACTACTGAACCCACATGCCACAACCGCTGAAGCCTGTGCACCTAAAGCCCATGCTTCGCAATAAGAGAAGCCACTGCAATGAGAAGCCTGCGCACCGTAACAAAGAGTAGCCTCTGCTCACCGCAACTAGAGGAAGCCCGCGTGCAGCAACAAAGACACAATGCAGCCAAAAAATTAATTAATTAATTAAAAAAAATATATATATGCAGTCAAGCATTTAGCAAAACAAAAGAGACCCAGTGACAGTGAAAAGCTTAGTTTAACTCATTTGAACAGATATTTTTTGAGCACCGTTTATGTGCTAGACATTGTGTTAAAGATGTGAGGATACAAAGATATGGATGCAGCTCTTACAAAATAGCCTTGGGAGACAGAGTGTGCAGACACATGATTTTACTCTAATATGATAGGAAGAAAGATAAAAATATATACAGGGAATTGATTTGATACTGAGGATGAAACGATTAAGTCTGGGGTGGTGGTTAGGGCAGGCTTCAGAGAAGATCAAGATATTAAAGGTCGAAGAGGAGTTTGCCATGGGGATTTCAAGCGCAGGGAACAGCATTTACTAAGGTGTAGACGCATGGAACAGCCCAGTGCGTCACTCAGCAGTGCTGGAGCACAGGGAGGGAGATAACAAAGGAAAAAGCAGCAGAAGAGGAGGAGCCAGTGGACCTCCAGATCATGTAGAGTCTTTCTTACAGTGCCCGGGAACTTGGGATTTAACTTGTGTACCTGTGAACCTCTACGAGCTTCAACCCCCAAACACTGGAAAGATAAGCCACCCCACACTGGAAGCCATGTGTAGATTTAAATATAACCTACAAACTGCCTCCCAGAAAGATTCCAGTACATTCCCCCTTCAAGAAAAAATTCCTGGTGATGATAGGAAAGCATTGAAGGATTTGAAGAGTTGCCTGGTGAGATTCATGCTTTAAATCACTTCAGGAGTTGTGTGAAAGATGCAGTTGAAGGAGTCAGGATCCAAGGTGAACAGGACACTTGGGAGAGATGGCGACTGTCCGGTCAAGAACAGTTAAGGTGTAACTGAGACAGTTGAGCTAACGGGGTAAGGATACACTGGAGAGAGAATCCTAAGCTAAAAACAAATGTTAGAGATTGGAACTTGGTTGGATGTAGGGGATAGAGGAGAAAGGGTTAGGATAGTAGCATGATTCCCAGGTTTCTGGCTTGGGATCCCCAAGCTAGGGAATTCTGGAGTTGCATGCTGTGTGTTTGGAAGATGAAGAGGGGGAGTTGGGAGATGGTCATTTAGTTTCATTCTGGACCATAGGCTTTGCTGTTCCAATAGGAAGGCTTCCAGTGGGAAGTCGTGAGCCCAAATCTGAAAGGTGGATAGAGTTCATGTTTAGGAAAAGCAGATTTGGGAAGTGGTCTCTAATATGCTCTGGATAGGAGTAGAAGGTAAGGGCAAAGCTGGAAGGATTGGGAGCTGATCCTCAACATCTTAGGAAAAGGGCTATGTCGACCGCCATCGTTTTCCCCACACAGTACTTTGCATACAGCAGGTGCTCAATAATTATTTGTGTATTTTACTAATTAGTAAAGAAATGGAGACAGGAAACTATGGGTAGTCCCTTGATTCTCTTGGAGTTTCTTTGTGTAATAAAGTCTGGGGTGTAACGGCTGACAAGTGAAATAATATTGACCTGTTTTCCAGCGTGGTTCAAAAAACTACAAGCTCTGATGGCTGCTGCAATGTTTGGCCAAACTAAAATCCCCAGAGGAAATGGATCTTATTCCGTCGGTTGTACGGACTTGATGTTTGATTACACGAATAAGGTAGTGATTTGATTAATACCAGTTATCCTTATATTCTAATATTGACTGTGGCTATGGCCCATGAGAAGGTTTTGAAACCTGACCTTGCCCTCACCTGAGAAAGACTTATCTTGCCATTTGTATGGTCTCCTGGGAAGCCTTTGGCAGTTTAATTCATTCCCCAATTCGTTGCTCTCATCGGATTAACTATAAACTCTTTTTTCCCCCTTCTTTGATGGCTGAAACCAGGCTGCTCATACTTTCTTTTCACTCAAAAAGCATACTGTTGTTCTATTTCTCTTCCTTTTGACTGCATTCAATCACTACGGCAACTTAAAAAGCTCTCTGGACCTCTTGCGCAATAGAAGTATTTGGGTCCCCGCTAATTAAATATGCAAATAGCTGTTAGAACATGTTTAAGAAGCAACTTGACTAAAAGTACATTAACTTCTTTTCTCTACAGGGCACCTTCTTGCGTTTGTATTATCCATCCCAAGATCATGGTCACTGTGACACCCTTTGGATCCCAAACAAAGAATATTTTTTTGGTCTTAGTAAATTTCTTGGAACACACTGGCTTATGGGCAAAATTTTGAGCTTATTCTTTGGTAAGATTTGTGTTGCTTCTGCTTTTAGGCTCTAGAATATAAGAAAAGCTTGAAAATAGCAGGAGTTTCAGGCAGTGAAAGACCAAAGTAGATTGTCTCCAGTCCAGACATCTCCTAAGATGACAAAGTATTTCTTAAAAGGCCAGGTAACTATCAGAGAATCAAGGGTTCTCGTTTTGTCTATTCTGAATACGATGGGGTGCGTGGAGGGAGTGAAGGTATCAGACTTTCAGGCTGGCTCTAACATCTCTCTATGGCTGGCCTGATTTTTGCTTCTTACATATTCTTGGAGGCAGTCATGTGGTGAGACCAGCAGCTGGGCTGATGTGACTACTACCTTCTACGCTCTGCGCTAAAGTGCTTTCTACAGTTGGGCAAAGAGAGAAAGAAAACAGAAGCCTCCATAACTCTCCAGATCCTAAACAAAGGAGTGAAAGCTAATTTCTTACATGTCATAAATGAGGAAACTACTCTCATTCCCATCACCAACCCCCAAGCGGCCAGCCTCTCTCACTAAGACAATCCGATGTGCATTCATCACTTAATATGTCTGTATTTCGCTAATATTGAGTTGTCCTTCCTTATCTGTTGGACCAGACACTACTGTTGGGCTGATGTTAACCATGTCTTCAAATTTCCCCCTCAGAAATACCTACAACTTTTGGCCTTCATTTTAAACATCTCGTTGGAGTTTTCTTAAGAATCAATTTATAAGAGAAATGATGAAAATATTATCACTACGCATCTTTATGATGCTGAATAACTTATAAGTCACTTCCCTAGCAATCATCACATGCAGTCTTCATGACCACATCTCCATCGTGTTGATGAGAAAGTGAAACACAAATAATTGATGATAATGATGACAATAACAAGTGAGAAGTGAAGGAAGAAGAGACAACTTCTTCCATTTTTTTGAGCCCTTTACTATGTGACTGGATAGATGTGCTTTACATTTTCCTACTTAAATATGACTCTGACAAAACCCCCCTGAGATAGATATCATTTCCCTCATTTTATAGGAGTCTGAGGCTCAGAGAGTTCTCTTGACTTGCCCAAGGTCAGTAGCTAGTAAGTGGCAGAGCTTCCTCCAAAGCTACATCTAAGCATGCAGTCGAAGATCTCTCCACCTTCCTCTTGATTTTGATCAAGTTAGAATGAGATGACTCTCCGATCTGAAGTTTCTGGATCTCAGTGTAATATTCCTGAGGTTTACTGGTAGTTTAGTTTCAGAACATTCCCTCTGAAGTTTTGCCCAAACCCGGGATTCATCATAAGGAACGGCCTTCCCGAATACACCTCTAAGTAGGAAAATGTCTCACCTCAAGTTCAGAGCTGGCAGTGAGAACCGACAGTTAATGATCCTATGGTCCTAGGAAGAACACATAGTTCAGGCCCTCGGTTGGTGGTATCTAGTGGGAGACTTTTTTTAATGAATTTACTATTAATGCATAAAAACATGAATTCCATGGGTCAGAATTTTATACTAAGGAGATATGTTAAATTAAATAGCAACACTCAAGTCAGAAAAAACACTAATTACAGTCTCCCACTGCTGTCTAGGTTCAATGACAACTCCTGCAGCCTGGAATTCCCCTCTGAGGACTGGGGAGAAATACCCACTCATTATTTTTTCTCATGGTCTTGGAGCATTCAGGTAAAGTCTCAGAGGTTGAACGACTTTAGCTTCTAGGGACAAATGACTGAATGCAGTTTTCCCCCAGAAGAGGGATAGCAGATTATGGAGTGTCAGGCTGTCCCCTGTCCTGGAGGACTTGGCGTTCCTCAGGAATTAGCTGGGATCTGTTGATCGGTCCTATAGCCCTGTTTTTTTCCTGCCTCCAGCCCATGGAGACCAGCTTCACAACAGAGGAGACAGGCTGTCGCATTTTGGGTTGTTGTCTTTCTATATTATAGTATTTACACTCTCAAAATCATTCACCGTATTAGTTCAGGTCCTCCGAGAAACAGCCACCATGACTAGATTAGCGGTGAAAGACATGTATTACAAAATGCCCATGGAGGACAGAAGGGAAAGAGCAGAAGCAGAAAAGATGGGGAGAGCTTTCATGATGCAGGCTGGACACCTGGGAAGGAGATGGGAGACAGAAGGACTGGATACGGAGCATCTCGAGACCGCAGCACAATTCTAAGAAAGATTGGGCCAGGCTGATGGAGGGAGTGCTTGACCAAGAACTGCTCCTCAGGGCTTCCCTGGTGGCGCAGTGGAAGGCTAAAAAAAAGAACTGCTCCTCAGAGGAGCTCTGCACCTCACAGGAAAGGACCTGCGTTAAACCCACACCATGTCCAGTCGCTGGGACCGACCCACAGGAAGCCTAGCTTTCACTCGATCCACAGGGGTGGGATCTGCGAGGGGTCTTTAGTCAACTGTGATCTCTGTGCCATGACGAGTGGCACATTTTCATGGCCACCGCATGCCCTCCACTTTCTTCCTACATCTTCTCAACTGCCTCCCCGTCTCCCCCCTCAGAGGATTATAAGACTTCTAGAAGAGTGGCTTTTAGCTGGTAAGAAATTGTGTAGCATCTGCAATAAGAAGTTATCGTAGTCCAGCTAGTTATTTGATTCCTTCTAGACCAGTGGTTGTCATCTCAGAATCTGAGGGCCAGCTCCAGCCTGCTGCCTGCTTCTGTAAATAAGGTTTTATTGCAACTCAGCCACACTCATTCATTTTCCCCATTGTCTCTGCCGCTTTTGTGCTATAACAGCAGAGCTGACTAGTTGTGACACATAGCGTATGGCCCACAGAGCTGGAAGCAATTACTCTCTGGCTTTTTACCGAAAAGGTTTTGCTGATCCCTGTACTAGATGATTTTCCCTTCCTGAGTTGGTCCTGCATTGTCAGGAGTACAAGACATGGTGCCTACCTCCTTTTTGTTCCTTATGGCCATTTCCTATTGAATACATGATAGGAGAAAAGATTGTGCAGAGCAAAGATATGGAAGGGATTCTGAATGTAGTTGCTAATTAGCACATGATCCGTTAAGGATCTCACCCTGTCCAGTCATTTACATAACAGCTAATGTGTGTTCGGTATTTCCCCTGTTGCAGACACGGTTATAAGCACTGAAACTGTGTAACTTACTTAATCCTTACAGTAACCCGACCAGGTACCATAATCTTATAACATCACCCTTCTACAGATAAAGCACTAAGGCAGAGAAAAGATAAGTGACTTATCCAAGGTAGAGAGCTAATAAGGGAGGGAACCAGGATACAATCACCTGCAGGGGTCAGAGTGTAGGTCCTGTTCTCTTAAGCATCACATTGTACCGCCTTCCTGCACTATGTATTATCTTATCAAAACCTTATCACTATTCTAAAGCAAAGGCTTTATTATCTATCCCCATTCTACAGATGAGGACAGAAATGCAGTAATGTAATTACCTAAAGTCATATAGCTGGTAAGGGGCAGACGCAAGATTAAAACCCAGAACTCTCAGTTTGGGATTGACACGTACACACTGCTCTACTTAAAACGGATAACCAACAAGGATCTACTGTATAGCACAGGGAACTCTGCTCAATATTATATAACAGCCTAAATAGGAAAAATATTTGAAAAAGAATAGATACATGAATATGTATAACTGAACCACCTTGCTGTACACCTGAAACTCTCACAACATTGTTAATCAACTATACTCCAATATAAAATAAAAAGTTAAAAAAAACCACAAATTCTCGACGGCAATATTTATCATCACTGCACCAGTGTTTCTCAGCCTTGGTACCACTGATGCTTTGGACTGGATAATTTCTTGTGGAATGTAGTCTCGTGCATCATAGGATGGTTTTAGCAGCATCCCTCTATCCACTAGATGCCAGTAACACCCTCCCCCTACTCATGATAATGAAAACCCCTCCAGACATTGTCAAATATCCCCTGAGTGGTAAAATCAGCCCCCTTCGAGCACCACAGCTCTCTGCTTTACCCCAGGGCACTACTACAGGGGCATAATTACCTCCATATTCCTACGTTTATTTGTGGACCCCTTGTAATCATGACTGGTAGTTGAATGCTTCCCTCTTTTTGTTTTGAAGGACAATTTATTCTGCTATTGGTATTGACCTGGCATCTCACGGGTTTATAGTTGCTGCCATAGAACACAGGTACGTCACCTGGTATGTGGCTGAGCTCTACCTTTCATACAGGTTTATGAAAAGTGCTGATAGGATTGTCAACTATGGTTACATGATGAACAAAAAAGGAGACTGAGCTAGATTGTCAAGTATGTAAAAAAAATAGCTAACATTTCTAGAATGTTTATTGAGTGCCGTGTTCACAGACCATCTCATTTAATCTTCATAACAATGCTTTAAGACGGTTATCATTACCACTGTTTCAAGGAGGCAGAGAATGAAGCTGAGGAAGGGTAAGTAATTTGCCCCAAACCACACAGCTAGCAAGTGACAGCACTGGGATTTGATTCCAGGAGAGAGTTTTCAACACCGCAGCCTCCCAGAATTGTGAAGATGGAATGGGTTGTTCACAGGCAACCATGTCTTTTTCTTAGAACTCCCTTGGGGGCTTCTTTGATTTAAAAAAAGGTAGAGTGCAAGAAAGGGAGTCAGAAAGAGTCACGGCTGGGGATGAGGAACACAGGTGAGATGAAGGAGAGAAAGAGCAAGCGTAAGTAATTGATTCTGTTTGTATTGTAGAGATGGCTCTGCATCTGCGACTTACTATTTCAAGGACCAGTCTGCTGCAGAAATAGGAAACCAGACTTGGCTTTATCTTAGAACCCTAAAACGAGGGGAGGAGGAGTTTCCTCTACGAAACGAGCAGGTATGTTGCAAGAAGAAGAGAGGTGGCATGGTGACCAAAAAGCATAGGCAAAATGATGACATTTGTTCGTTTAATTTTACATATGGCAGACCGTGCTCCTAGATCTCCTTACTTCCCATCCCCAAAAGATCTGTCAGAGGATTCTCTGAGTAATCAAATGCCCTTAATGAAATATCTGGATCATAGTAAAAACAAAGACCAACATAAAAATCCTAGGAGATGACAGTGAATATTCAGAATCCTTTTGCATTAGAAGTAAAGACTACTTTTCACAGAGGTGGTATAGAATAGCATTAAGAGTCCAGGCCTTAGAATGCAACTTTCTATGTTTGAATCCTGGCACCATCACCTCGCAGTGGAGTGATCTTGAACAAGTTACTTATTCTTTTTGCTTTGCTTCCATGTTTGATCCGTTACGAAATAATGAATATTAACAGTATCTTTCACATGGGGCTTTGAGGAAGATCAAGTGAAATAAAGCACATTGCTTTCCACCTCAGTACCAGGCTTTATAGTGGGTGCTTTTTATATATGTTATTGCATTTAATCCCACCCACATTCACTGAGGCATTATTATACAATAAATGGAAGTTCAGAGAGGTTAAGTAAATCATCTGAGGTCACACAGTGGGTAAGCAACAGAGTCAGGATTTGGACCAAGCCATAACTACCTGTAAAGCTGGTGCCTGGGTCATCATGCTAGGCTGTGTTCTAATCACTAATCTCAAAGTCATTTCCAGTTTATAAGCAACCGCGTATTTTTTCCACCTGCCCCCTCTGCACAAGCTTTAAGTGTTACAACTCTTTTCTTTGCCATTTCCTTCTTCTAATCGTCATATTAGGTACTGCAACGAGCAAAGGAGTGTTCTCAAGCTCTCGATTTGATTCTGGACATAGATCGCGGGAGACCAGAGAAGAATGTATTAGATTTAGAGTTTGACGTGGAACAGATGAAGGTGAGCTTAAAAAAAAAGCCATTTTCCCCTGGCCTAGACTTCTTTATTGCTCACATTTCTGTCTGTCTTACTGCTGTAATACAAGATACAATATGATAAAGGGCTGCAAAAAAAAAGTACCTGCAAAATATTCCAACAGTGAGGAACACATCAGGTTGAACTACATATGAAATTGCCACCAGGCAGCTTTGATCTACAAAAATGGCAAATTTCATATGTTTCAACTTAATACAACCAGTGGAAGTATTGTAATTTCTTGGGCAGTTCCTGCATGTTTTTGAGCTTGATCTTGAAACGCTGGTGAAAAGTTTTAGACAAAATATTGGGGTGGGGTGGAAGGATATCAGAGTGGACCGTGTGAATGAAGACTCAAACGTGTGTGTAGGGGGGTGGAGTGTAGGAAAGCACAGGGCACTAAGATGATGGTATGTCCTCCAGACACAGTGAAGCGTTTGTGTCCCTCGGCTAGCCACTCTCCTGTCTCCATACCTATGGATGTGTTGTCCCCTTGGTCTGACACCCCATCTTCCTGACTCAGTCCTGCTTAATCGTCAACTCAAGTCGGGTATTACCTCGGCCATGAAGCTTTCTTGGGCCTCACTGCCCACCCTGGACTGGTCTGGCTGTCTATCATATGTGCTCCATGGTACGACCCTACTGCATCTGCATCGTGTATCCGTCGCTCCTTCCCTAATAGACTGGGAGCTCATGGAAAATGAACTATAATGCCTGGCACAGAGCAGGTGCTCAATCGATACTCAGGGAGTGAACAAACTAATAAACATGGAGGGGGGAGGGGGAGAAATCAGCAATGATGTTGATGCTTGAAGTGTGGGTGAAGAGGAAGGCCATGAAGTTTACCTCTGAACTCTTAGAAATGCTCAACAACTATGTGCGTGTCTTTGTGTATATATAGGTAAGCATGCATGTATATGTACATATATGTGCATATGTTTACATATGTGTATGTGGGTGTGTGGGTGCTCGTGAATGTACGTATGTGTATATATATTTCTTTTCTAAGAAACCAAGGTACTTAACCATGCCTGTGAAAAGATAAGTTTATAATTCACAAAATCACTGCCTATCCTCCGAACAACCTGCAAGATACTGATGAACTTACATCATGCTTTTTCACATAGGACTCCATCGACAGGGATAAAATAGCGGTTATTGGACATTCTTTCGGTGCAGCCACAGTTATTCAGAGTCTTAGTGAAGACCAGAGATTCAGGTAAGAGAATGAGTCTCAGTGTTTGGAAGCGGGGGGAGTGATAACACACGTGAGATAGAATTTATCAAATTCTTAGTGAGGAAGAGATCCTTCGGAATTCACAAGTTTGTTCTTTTGCCTCCGTAAAGTCCTCCGTATGAATTTTCCTCAACAGAAACCAACTACGTCTCTTGCTACTGAAAACTCTTCACATCTCTCCATATTTTTCCTCGTTATTATTCATCTGCTCAAGCGCTTATTATTTTCATTTGGAAGTTTAGCTTTATATATACGTATTATCTGTGACATAATAATTGTAATAAAAATATTGTCATCTTATACTATTTTCTAGACTTCCCCAATAGGTAGGGCATTTTTTAATTAATTTTTTTCATCCTTAAGATGAAGTGTGGGCTAAAATTACATAGTTATGTGGGTGGAAGTCAGGCCCCCAGTCTTCTAACTTGAAGAAATATTTTCTTTCTTGAACCATTTTATCCCAGATTGATGAGACCATGTAGAACCAACCATGTAGAAAGAGGGTAGGATCATCTGTGAAACTTCATCTCACATTTCTTAAAATCTGTTTCAACGTAAGGGGATTCTCTTCTTTCCTCCATTTAGCACATAAAATAGAGTGTCCAAAAGGCTAAGAAACATAGGATAACTTACTTTTAAAAAGAAAATTAATTACATTTCATTTTCAAATGATATACTCCATAGGCTTTTCTTCAACACCCAGACACTCTTCCAGGTGAGGAATGGGTCTAACTGTTACTCTGAAAGAAGTATAATGAGTACACGACAGTGTCCAGAAGGACTAGAAACACAGGGGCAATAGTGCATGTACTGTATTTTTTCAGATACCCCCCAATTTTGAAGAATAGTACTTATAATATTTTAAAATTTATCTTGAAAGATGACAAAAAATGAATAAAAAAATTTTAAATATTATGTCTTTCTAAAGGTTGCAATTCTTAAATGCCTCCTAAAGAAAATGATTGTATAATTACAAGTTTGCTACCTTATAAAGCTAATCATATCCCTTTCCCACAGTGAAGTATAATACCTCTTCAGCTCAGTGAGATAACCCATAATGATCTGGTGTGCTGTGTGTCTCTGAATCCTTGCATTATTAGACATTCCTGTATCTGGGCCAGTGTGTAACCAGACTTCTTTGATCAGGTGCGGTATCGCTCTGGATGCATGGATGTTTCCAGTGGCTGATGAAGTATATTCCAGAATTCCTCAGCCCCTCTTTTTTATCAACTCGGAACGATTCCAATACCCTTCTAATATTATAAAAATGAAAAAATGCTACTTACCTGATAGAGAAAGAAAAATGATTACAATCAGGTAAGTATCAGTAAGTGACTTATTACATCATCTGAAACAGAAACTTGAAACTTGGATAAACAAGTAACGATATCATTTGGTTGCTACTCTAGAATTATTCAATTTGTTGTTTAGACTTGGAATAAGGGAGAATATTAGATAATCTCAGTTTCCAAGTGCATTTAGACTTACTCTTTTTAAAATGCAAATTTTTGGGGCTTCCCTGGTGGCGCAGTGGTTGGGAGTCCGCCTGCCGATGCAGGGGACGCGGGTTCGTGCCCCGGTCTGGGAGGATCCCACGTGCCGCGGAGCGGCTGGGCCCGTGAGCCATGGCTGCTGAGCCTGCGCGTCCGGAGCCTGTGCTCCACAACGGGAGAGGCCACAGCAGTGAGAGGCCCGCGTACCGCAAAAAAAAAAAAAAAAAAAAAAAAGTAAAATGCAAATTTTTGAGTAGTGTTAATATACTATTAATGTTAAATACTATTAACTATGTTAATACACTATACAGCACGTGCTGATAAATAAAATTTGCATGATACATGCTACCTTTATCTAAATGTAAGAGCAAACCTATACATTTTTAGGGCTGGGATGGGGGAAGTATTCCATCAGTAAGCTAGGCTAAGAACTCTTTAGAAAAAAAGTAAGATCATCTGTTGAGAACTGCAGTGTGTTTATCTGTTTGGTAAGCAGATGAATTTATAAATTCTCAAAAGTTATAATAGAGTCCCTTGAAGGGTCAGCAACATGCTTATATCGTGGATGTGAAAAAGAACTCCCAATAGCGCTTTGAACTCACGATGAGATGCTACAAAGCAAAGACTGAGCTCCTTCCTCTCCTATCTGAAACCTGATTTACTTAGAAGGGCACAGAAGAGGTGGCAAGAAGGAAACACACACAGTAAAGGCAGTAAACACCCCCAGGACAGAGAATGGAGGACTCTTCCAATTAAGGTGGTCAGAAAAGGCTGCTTAGAAGAAATTGGGGTAGAATTGGGTCTTGAAGGATCAAGAGACATTATTATTATTAAGATTTAATTTAATTTTTATTTTTTTTGGTTGTGCTGGGTCTTTGTTGCTGCGCGCGGGCTTTCTCTAGTCGTGGTGAGCGGGGGCTACTCTTCGTTGCGGTGCGTGCACGGGCTTCTCATTGTGGTGGCTTCTCTTGTTGTGGAGCACAGGCTCTAGGCACGTGGGCTCAGTAGTTGTGGCGCATGGGCTTAGTTGCTCCGCAACATGTGGGATCTTCCCGGACCAGGGATTGAACCCGTGTCCCCTGCATTGGCAGGCGGATTCTTATCCACTGCGCCACCAGGGAAGTCCCTCAAGAGACTTTAGATAGATGGTGAGGAAGGATCTAGATATTTAAGGTAAGATGTCAACTTAGCTTATTGGTATGTGCAAGTCTATTTAATTCTAAAGCAGAAATATTACAGAACACCCAACCTTCCTTATTGGCTATCACTCTCTCTGTTTCTTCCCTTCTCTGCTAGAAAGAAGAGCTTGTACTTAATATTCCCTGTCCTTACATCCATTTACTCTGAATTCTGCAGTCTGTCTTCCTGAACTGCCACCAGTGAGCTGAAAATGGCCCCACTGAGGACATAGAAGTTTCAGTCGCCTATTGGCAGCCTCAGCCTTTCTCTCTGCATCCCTCCCACCTGTTGACTACCCCCATTTCTCCTCCCTTGGGTACACTAACCCCACTCTCTCCTGCTTCTCGCATCCTGTAGATGGCTTCCTCCCTTTCTCCCCCACCGTCTCCTCCTCTTCAGGCCATCTCTCCACTGTTGGTGGCATCCGGGGTTCTGCTCTCAGCTGTGCTGCGACCCTGCCTCTATTTACCTTCTTTATACTTTTGACTCTCAAGTTTGGATTGGGATGTGGGGAAGAGTGAGCAGAGTCTGGGCCTCGGTTTTGCGTAGAGATACCTAAAAGAATGGTGGTTTGCTTATAAGCAGCAAAGTGAAGAGGAAAAGTGGCATTGGGTGGGGCTGGAAAGGTGTGTTTTAGCCTTGGGTAAAGATGTCTGGCCACAAATTAGCAAAGTATATAATCTGTATATTATTAATGAAATCTATGGAGGAGATGAGACCACAAAGTGCGAAAAGAATTGGTCTAATAGAATCTTGAGGATTTAGGGGAAAAGCCAGTGAAGAACAGAGTAGTTCGGGAAAGGAGGGAAAATGTGATGTCAAGGGAAAAAACAAATGCAAGAAAATCAAGTGTCACGTGTCTCAGAGGTAGTAGAAAATGTGCAGTAAAAAATGGCCGTTTTGGGGAGGAGCTTCAAGACGGTGGAGGAGTAAGACGCGGAGATCACCTCCCTCCCCACAGATACATCAGAAATACATCTACACGTGGAACAACTCCTACAGAACACCTACTGAACGCTGGCAGAAGACCTCAGATCTCCCAAAAGGCAAGAAACTCTGCACGTACCTGGGTAGGGCAAAAGAAAAAAGAATAAACAGAGACAAAAGGATAGGGACGGGACTGGCACCAGTGGGAGGGAGCTGTGAAGGAGGAAAGGTTTCCACACACTAGAAGCCCCAGAGACGGGGGTTGGAGGGGGGGAAGCCTCGGAGCCGCAGAGGAGAGCACAGCAACAGGGGTGCAGAGGGCAAAGCGGAGAGATTCCCGCACAGAGGATCAGGGCCGACCAGCACTCACCAGCCCGAGAGGCTTGGGCTTCGGAGGTCAGATCCCAGGGAGAGGACTGGGGTTGGCAGCGTGAACACAGCCTGAAGGGGTTAGTGTGCCACATCTAGCGGGAGGGAGTCCGGGAAAAAGTTTGGAGCTGCTGAAGAGGCAAGAGACCATTGTTTCTGGGTGCAGGAGGAGAGGGGATTCAGAGCGCCACCTAAATGAGCCCCAGAGACGGGCGTGAGCCGCGGCTAACAGCGCGGACCCCAGAGATGGGCATGAGACGCTAAGGCTGCTGCTGCCGCCACCAAGAAGCCTGTGTGCGAGCACAGGTCACTCTCCACACCCCCCTTCCGGGGAGCCTGTGCAGCCCGCCCCTGCCAGGGTCCCGGGATCCAGGGACAACTTCCCCGGAAGAACGCACGGCGTGCCTCAGGCTGGTGCAACATCACACTGGCCTCTGTGGCCGCAGGCTCACCCCGCACTCCATGCCCCTCCCTCCCCCTGGCCTGAGTGAGCCAGAGCCTTCGAATCAGCTGCTCCTTTAACCCCGTCCTGTATGAGCGAAGAACAGACGCCCTCCAGCGACCTACACGCAGAGGCGGGGCCAAATCCAAAGCTGAACCCCGGGAGCTGTGCGAACAAAGAAGAGAAAGGGAAATCTCTCCCAGCAGCCTCAGGAGCAGCGGATTAAATCTCCACAATCAACTTGATGTACCCTGTATCTGTGGAATACATGAATAGACAAGGAATGATCCCAAATTGAGGAGGTGGACTTTGGGAGCAACGATATATATATATTTTTTTCCCTTTTTCTTTTTTTGTGAGTGTGTATGTGTATGCTTCTGTGTGTGATTTTGTCTGTATAGTTTGCTTTTACCATTTGTCCTAGGGTTCTGTCTGTCTGGTTTTTTCTGTTTTGTTTTGTTTTGTTTAGTATAATTTTTAGCGCTTGTTATCATTGGTGGATTTGTTTTTTGGTTTGGTTGCTCTCTTCTTTCTTTTTTTTATTACTTAAAAATACTTTTTTAATAACTTTTTTTTATTTTATTTTATCTTCTTTTTTCTTTCTTTTTTTTTCCTCACTTTTATTCTGAGCCGTGTGGATGACAGGCTCTTGGTGCTCCAGCAAGGCGTCAGGGCTGTGCCTCTGAGGTGGGAGAGCCAGGTTCAGGACATTGGTCCACCAGAGACCTGCCAGCTCTATGTAATACAAACAGCGAAAATCTCCCAGAGATCTAAATCTCAACACCAAGACCCAGCTCCACTCAATGACCAGCAAGCTACAGTGCTGGACACCCTATGCCAAACAACTAACAAGGCAGGAACACAACCCCACCCATTAGCACAGAGGCTGCCTAAAATCATAATAAGGCCACAGACACCCCAAAACACACCACCAGACGTGGACCTGCCCACCAGAAAGACAAGATCCATCCTCATCCACCAGAAAACAGGCACTAGTCCCCTCCACCAGGAAGCCTACACAACCCACTGAACCAACCTTAGCCACTGGGGACAGACACCAAAAACAACGGGAACTACGAACCTGCAGACTGCAAAAAGGAGACCCCAAACACAGTAAGTTAAGCAAAATAAGAAGACAGAGAAATACACAGCAGATGAAGGAGCAAGGTAAAAACCCACCAGACCTAACAAATAAAAAGGGAACAGGCAGTCTACCTGAAAAAGAATTCAGAATAATGATAGTAAAGATGATCCAAAATCTTGGAAATAGAATGGAGAAAATACAAGAAACGTTTAACAAGGACCTAGAAGAACTAAAGAGCAAACAAACAGTGATGAACCACACAATAAATGAAATTAAAAATTCTCTAGAAGGGATCAATAGCAGAATAACTGAGGCAGAAAAATGGGTAAGTGACGTGGAAGATGAAATACTGGAAGTAACTACTGCAGAGCAGAATAAAGAAAATAAAATGAAAAGAATTGAGGACAATCTCAGAGACCTCTGGGACAACATTAAACACACCAACATTCGAATTATAGGGGTCCCAGGAGAAGAAGAGAAAAAGAAAGGGACTGAGAAAATATTTGAAGAGATTATAGTTAAAACTTCCCTATTATGGGAAAGGAAATGGTTAGTCAAGTCCAGGAAGCACAGAGAGTCCCATACAGGATAAATCCAAGAAGAAACACACCAAGACACATATTAATCAAACTATCAAAAATTAAATACAAAGAAAAAATATTAAAAAGCAGCAAGGGAAAAACAACAAATAACATACAAGGGAATCCCCATAAGGTTAACAGCTGATCTTTCAGCAGAAACTCTCCAAGCCAGAAGGGAGTGGCAGGACATATTTAAAGTGATGAAGGGGAAAAACCTACAACCAAGATTACTCAACCCAGCAAGGATCTCATTCAGATTTGACGGAGAAATTAAATCCTTTACAGACAAGCAAAAGCTAAGAGAATTTAGCACCACCAAAAGAGCTTTACAACAACTGCTACAGGAACTTCTCTAGGCAGGAAACACAAGAGTAGGAATGGTAACAGAAACATACGTATCAATAATTACTCTAAATGTAAATGGATTAAATGCTCCAACCAAAAGACACAAGCTTACTGAAAGGATACAAAAACAAGACCCACATATATGCTGTCTATAAGAGACCCACTTCAGACCTAGGGAGACATACAGACTGAAAGTGAGGGGATGGAAAAAGATATTCCATACAAATGGAAATCAAAAGAAAGCTGGAGTAGCAATTCTCGCATCAGACAAAATAGACTTTAAAACAAAGACTATTACAAAAGACAAAGAAGGACACTACATAATGATCAAGGGATCAATCCAAGAAGAAGATAAAACAATTGTAAATATTTATGGACCCAACATAGGAGCACCTCAATACATAAGGCGAATACTAAGAGCCAAAAAAGGGGAAATTGACAGTAACACAATCATAGTAGGGGACTTTAACACCCCAGTTTCACCAATGGACAGATCATCCAAAATGAAAATTAATAAGGAAACACAAGCTTTAAATGACACATTAAACAAGATGGACTTAATTGATATTTATAGGACATTCCATCCAAAAACAACAGAATACACTTTCTTCTCAAGTGCTCATGGAACATTCTCTGGGATAGATCATTTCTTGGGTCACAAATCAAGCCTTGGTAAATGTAAGAAAATTTAAATTGTATCAAGTATCTTTTCCGACAACAACACTATGAGACTGGATATCAATTACAGGAAAAAATCTGTAAAAAATACAAACACATGGAGGCTAAATACACTACTTAATAACCAAGATCACTGAAGAAATCAAAGAGGAAATAAAAAAATACCTAGAAACAAATGACAGTGAAAACACGATGACCCAAAACCTATGGAATGCAGCAAAAGCAGTTCTAAGGGGGAAGTTTACAGCAATACAATCCTACCTTAAGAAACAAGAAACATCTCAAATAAACAACCTAACATTACACCTAAAGCAATTAGAGAAAGAACAAAAAAAAAAAACCCAAAGTTAGCAGAAGGAAAGAAATCATAAAGATCAGATCAGAAATAAATGATAAAGAAACGAAGGGAACTATAGCAGAGATCAATAAAACTAAAAGCTACTTCTTTGAGAAGATAAACAAAATTGATAAACCATTAGCCAGTCTCATGAAGAAAAAAAGGGAGAAGACTCAAATCAATAGAATTTGAAATGAAAAAGGAGAAGTAACAACTGACACTGCAGAATCACAAAGGATCATGAGAGATTACTACAAGCAACTAGATGCCAATAAAATGGACAACCTGGAAGAAATGGAGAAATTCTTAGAAATGCAAAACCTTCCAAGACTGAACCAGGAAGAAATAGAAAATATGAACAGACCAATCACAAGCACTGAAACTGAAACTGTGATTAAAAATCTTCCAACAAACAAAAGCCCAGGACCAGATGGCTTCACAGGCAAATTCTATCAAACATTTAGAGAAGCGCGAACACCGATCTTTCTCAAACTCTTCCAAAATATAGAGAGGGAGGAACACTCCCAAACTCATTCTACGAGGCCACCATCACCCTGATACCAAAACCAGACAAAGATGTCACAAAGAAAGAAAACTACAGGCCAATATCACTGATGAACATAGATGCAAAAATCCTCAACAAAATACTGGCAAATAGAATCCAATAGCACATTAAAAGGATCATACACCATGATCAAGTGGGGTTTATCCCAGGAATGCAAGGATTCTTCAATATATGCAAATCAATCAACGTGATACACCATATTAACAAATTGAGGGAGAAAAACCATATGATCATCTCAATAGATGCAGAGAAAGCTTTCGACAAAATTCAACACTGATTTATGATAAAAACCCTCCAGAAAGTAGGCATAGAGGGAACTTACCTCAACATAATAAAGGCCATATATGACAAACCCACAGCCAACATCGTCCTCAATGGTGAAAAACTAAAACCAATCCCACTAAGATCAGGAACAAGAAAAGGTCGCCCACTCTCACCACTAGTATTCAACATAGTTTTGGAAGTTTTAGCCACAGCAATCAGAGAAGAAAAAGAAATAAAAGGAATCCAAATCAGAAAAGAAGAAGTAAAGCTGTCACTGTTTGCAGATGACATGCTACTATACATAGAGAATTCTAAAGATGCTACCAGAAAACTACTAGAGCTAATCAATGAATTGGGTAAAGTAGCAGGATACCAAATTCATGCACAGAAATCTCTTGCATTCCTATACACTAATGATGATAAATCTGAAAGTGAAATTAAGGAAACACTCCCATTTACCATTGCAACAAAAAGAATAAAATATCTAGGAATAAACCTACCTAAGGAGACAAAAGACCAGTATGCAGAAAATTATAAGACACTGATGAAAGAAATTAAAGATGATACAAATAGATGGAGAGATATACCATGTTCTTGGATCGGAAGAATCAACACTGTGAAAATGGCTATACTACCCAAAGCAATCTACAGATTCAATGCAATCGCTATCAAACTACCACTGGCATTTTTCACAGAACTAGAACAAAAAATCTCACAATGTGTATGGAAACACAAAAGACCCCAAATAGCCAAAGCAATCTTGAGAAAGAAAAACAGAGCTGGAGGAATCAGGCTTCCTGACTTCAGACTATACTACAAATCTACAGTAATCAAGACAGTATGGTACTGGCACACAAACAGAAAGATAGATCAATGGAACAGGATAGAAAGCCCAGAGATAAACCCACACACATATGGTCACCTTATCTTTGATAAAGGAGGCAAGAACTCAAAATGGATGAAAGACCTAAATGTAAAGCCACACAGTATTAAACTCTGAGAGGAAAACATAGGCAGAACACTCCATGACATAAATCACAGCAAGATCCTTTTTGACCCACCTCCTAGAGAAATGGAAATAAAAACAAAAATAAACAAATGGGACCTAATGAAACTTAAAAGCTTTTGCACAGCAAAGGGAACCATAAACCAGACGAAAAGACAACCCTCAGAATGGGAGAAAATATTTGCAAATGAAGCAACTGACAGAGGATTAATCTCCAAAATTTACAAGCAGCTCATGCAGCTCAGTATCAAAAAAACAATCAACCCAATTCAAAAATGGGCAGCAGACCTAAATAGACATTTCTCCAAAGAAGATATACAGATTGCCAGCAAACACAGGAAAGAATGCTCAACATCATTAGTCATTAGAGAAATGCAAATCAAAACTACAATGAGATATCATCTCACACCTGTCAGAATGGCCATCATCAAAAAATCTACAAACAATAAATGCTGGAGAGAGTGTGGAGAAAAGGGAACCCTTTTGCACTGTTGATGGGAATGTAAATTGATACAGCCACTATGGAGAACAGTATGGATGTTCCTTAAAAAACTACAAATAGAACTACCATATTACACAGCAATCCCACTACTGGGCATATACCCTGAGAAAACCATAATTCAAAAAGAGTCATGTACCACAATGTCCATTGCAGCTCTGTTTACAATAGCCAGGACATGGAAGCCACCTAAGTGCCCATCAACAGATGAATGGATAAAGAAGATGTGGCACATATATATATACAATGGAATATTACTCAGTCTTAAAAAGAAACGAAATTGAGTTATTTGTAGTGAGGTGGATGGACCTAAAGTATGTCATACAGAGTGAAGTAAGTCAGAAAGAGAAAAACAAATACCGTATGCTAACACACATATATGGAATCTAAGAAGAAAAAAAAAAAGATCATGAAGAACCTAGGGGCAAGACGGGAATTAAATATGCAGACCTACTAGAGAATGGACTTGAGGATATGGGGAGGTGGAAGGGTAAGCTGGGACGAAGTGAGAGAGTGGCATGGACATATATACACTACCAAATGTAAAATAGATAGCTAGTGGGAAGCAGCCGCATAGCACAGGGAGATCAGCTCGGTGCTTTGTGACCACCTAGAGGGGTGGGATAGGGAGGGTGGGAGGGAGGGAGATGCAAGAGGGAAGAGATATGGGAACATATGTATATATATAACTGATTCACTTTGTTATAAAGCAGAAACTAACACACCATTGTAAAGCAATTATACTCCAATAAAGATGTTAAAAAAAAAAGGCCATTCTATTTGATGTTAGGCTGTTGGTGGATTTCAAGTCCATCAATAAGGGATATTTATGAGGTGCTTACAGTTTAAATAATACAAGGCAAAATTTTGTTTGTCTATCTTTTAACCTACTTAATCCAAGGCTTAAATGCAAAGTGTTTTTGCCCAACAGCAAATAGGTATCCAGTTAAGTGTGGTGGTAAGGGGGCAGGATTCTGACTCTGAGTTCAGGGACCCTCAACATATAAAGCATTCCACCTACTCAAATTGAAAGTAATCATGTCCTCTACAAAGCTGGAATCATCTCTTCTAAAACCAAGATGCCAAGCAAGACAGCAATCTTTGCCTTATTGATCTAGACGGGAGGAAGAATATATACTCTAGCACCCCTAAATGAACATCTCTGTGACCCTCAAGTACATCTAAGGAGATCAAATCTACAAATTTTGTTTCCTTGGTTTTCGTAAATAGGCCAACCAGGCCGGCATCTTTCCTGCACGGTAACTACAGAAATAATTTTGTCCAACAAAGTGATTTGTAAATGTCTCCTTTCTCTTTCAGGGGTTCAGTCCATCAGAATTTTGTTGACTTCACGTTTGCAACTGGCAAAATAATTGGCTACATATTCACACTGCAAGGAGAAATAGATTCAAACGTAGCCATGAGTCTTAGCAACAAAGCTTCGTTAGCATTCTTGCAAAAGCATTTAGGTAAGAAAGGGATCTTCTTTCCTGACATAAACCAGATGATTCTCAGGAAAAAACTGTTTATCTTAACTGTGCATGAGTCCCATTTTGACTGTTCCCAGTTGGTTTACGGTGGAACACTGCAGTCAGTCCATTTGAAAACAATTTAATTTTGCTGCTTTGCATACTACGCGTCATAGGCAGCAAGCCTACCTGTTAGAGCTAATAGTCTTTCTGTGAAGGCTGGGGCGGATTTCCATGCAGAGGATTCGGACAGCATAGTGCCTCAATTCCATCTCTCGTGCTGATGTTGCAGCCACACAGAGCTCACACAGAGCACCTTGCCTCCATAATGGTGACGCAATGTGGGTCGTCTGTGAGGCTAGGGTGCCACCTAGAGGCACTGAACTGTTTAACACTTTCCAAAGTTGAATATGTTTAGTGACATTTGTATTTTACAGGACTTCAGAAAGATTTTGATCAGTGGGATTCTTTAATTGAAGGGGAAGATGACAATCTTATTCCAGGAACCAACATTGACACAACCAACCACCATGCCACCCTGCAGAACTCTACAGGAATAGAGAAGCCAAATTCAGATTAAAAGAGCTTTTTAAAAAGTCTTGTTTAAAAACTGTCTAAAAGTGTGTGTGTGTATGATTTTAATGTATTTTCTCAAATAACTCACATTTGAAAATGTAGGCTGTACCACAATAGTGATTGAAGCTTGGATTAAGATTTTTTTCCTTTAAATGTAAAGAAAGACTGCTACATATAAAAATCATACCAGCCTAAATTTTAGTTTTACTAAAGTGTTCCTTTCTCGGTGTCACAATAAAAAACTGATTTTACATTTCTTTAATGGACAAGTATATTAAAACAGGCATCATGCCATTGAAAATGTGTTACAATGACCTAACACTCCCTAAAAACATAATAAAAACAGATTTTCTTGCCTCTTTTTTTTCTACTATAAGCAGTAGAATTGAGTTTTAGCAACATGGTCTTCTGCGTGGGACTTGGTAGCGCTTCTTTGACCTTGGGTGATGGTAAGAGAAATCAGGCCAAGCGGATAATAAAGCCATTGCTTTACTGTGGGATGGGTGCGACTGCACAATTTCAACATAATGACTAAACGGGGAATGGATGGGGGTAAGAATATTGGTGACAAAGCAAAGGCAGCAGATTAAAGCAAGTTGGTAATCTGTTTGCATTTACTTTAATGGTTTACCTCTGAGGCACTCTATTTACTAAAGAAAGGTGCATAAGACAGGCCCACGATTCCAGCCATCACACATTAAATCACTGATTCACCCGAAGGCTGCGACAGATAAGAAAGGACATAATTTTAACTGCTTCATTTTCCACTAGTTTTATTGATATTTAATGAATTTTTAAATTTTATATGTAGTAGTGGGAGGGGAAAAGCACAATAAATGGAGGTAAAAAGATAGCTGAGGGCTTCCCTGGTGGCGCAGTGGTTGAGAGTCCGCCTGCCGATGCAGGGGACACGGGTTCGTGCCCCGGTCCGGGAAGATCCCACATGCCGCGGAGCGGCTGGGCCCGTGAGCCATGGCCGCTGAGCCTGCGCGTCCGGAGCCTGTGCTCCGCAACGGGAGAGGCCACAACAGTGAGAGGCCCGCGTACCGGAAAAAAAAAAAAAAAAAAAAAAAAAAAGGTAGCTGAAAGATTTGTGCACTTATGTTTCTGGGAGTCACGGAAAATGTGTTTTGTTTCCCAAGGGGTATAAACATTTCTGCCACTGATCAGTTAAGTATATTTTTGTCTAAGAATGGTCTTGTTCCTATGAATTCTCCATAATTAAGTTTAATTATAGCCTGTGTGAACAAGGATAATCAGTACTTAGTAAGCAAGCCTGGTTAACTACTCTATCCCTATTCCTTTTGCCCAGTTAATAAGTAACTGTGTTTTCTGATTTGGCACTCAGGCCTATCTTAATGTTTTAATGTGCAAAAACACCCATTTTGAGAAATATGATTTCTCCTCTAACTGTTCAGATTAAACATTTTTAAATAGAGAGTTAAACTGCTTAGCATGAAACTGATGGCTTTCCATAATCCGACCCTAATGCATCTTCTCTGACCCTTTCTCCCAGTAATTAACTCACAACTATATCTCCTACATGAATGAGCCAAATGTGTCTAATCATTATCCCAGGAACAAGGAATATACTCATCTACCTCAATTACATTTAATGCAGAACACTCTTCTTTTCATTTATTGAAATTATACCCAACTTTTAAGGTTCTTAATTCTCACTATTCCCATCAGGCTTCAGGGTCTCATAATGTTTCATATACATACATCTTTTCCCCCATTCACATGTAGCAAACCTCCTTACTCATTTTAGAAATGGATAACCATTCCAATTGTACTGATGTCCCATTCACTAGCACCTCTTTAAAATCCTTTGTTGGCGGCACATGCTGATGCTGAAAGGAGAAAATAACTGCTGAAAGGATCCAGTGAGTTAAAGTTTAAAAAATACAACCTACCGGGCTTCCCTGGTGGCGCAGTGGTTGAGAGTCCGCCTGCCGATGCAGGGGACGCGGGTTCGTGCCCCGGTCCGGGAAGATCCCGCATGCCGCGGAGCGGCTGGGCCCGTCAGCCATGGCCACTGAGCCTGCGCGTCCGGAGCCTGTGCTCCGCAACGGGAGAGGCCACAACAGTGAGAGACCCGCGTACCGCAAAATTAAAAAAATAAAAAATAAAAATACAACCTACCATAGTGCATACTGAGTATCTTTTGGGGGAAAGAAGGAAATATTTATCAAATGCCTACTCCTTTTCTGGCACTTTACATAAATTATTTCTAATCTTAAAACCACTGCAAGAAAGGTTTTATTAACCCCATTTTACAGATGAGGAAGGTCAAGACTCAACAATGTTATAATAACCTACCCAGGTCACATATCTAGTAAGCAGCATATAGCTAAGATCTGTTTCCTAAAGCTAGGACCTATACTTTGCATACTACCACTTATGCAAAACCAGGTTTCAAAAGCATGGGCTTTGAAGTTAGATGGGTCTAGGTATGATCAAGTCTCCAAGATTTGCTAGCTCTTTGACATTAGGCAAATTATTTATCTTCTCTAAAAAGCTTCAATTGTCTCACCTATAAAATGTGGATAACATTAATATGCACCTCAGAATCAAGGATTAAATGAGAAAATGCATTTAAAGTACCAACTGAGTGATTAACACATAAAAGCTAACATTTTTATTTATATTTTATAAATATTATATTATTTCTAATATATTATTATTTTATTATATATAATATATATTAATATATATTTTTTAAAATATATTTTATAATATATATTATATATTTATATATAATATATTATATATTTTATTTATAATATATTTATTGTTATAATAATATATTAATATATTATTTATAATATAAAATATTATATTGTTTTTATTTATTATTTATAATATTACTATGTTTCCCCCAATTGTAGAATGGTGGTTTGTTCCATGACTACAGATATTCCAGAACCACAGATATTTCCTTTTTAATGAAATGACACCACTATACTTTTAAGGACAAACGTTATTCAAATCTTGTGTCATATTAGTATACTTCTAAATTCAAACAGAATATTAGTCAAAACTAGACAGAAAGGCAAAGCTTCAGAAAGAAAACAAAAATTTTGAAGGACTTACTGCTAACAAAGCCATCCTCCCAAGCAGCATCATATAATATGCTTGTCATAAACCTATAATTTTCTATTTTAAACACTATATTCAGAAGAAACCCAAAAAGTTTTTTTTTGCAGTGTGAGCTATTAGAAAGATAACACATTTAAAGGGAGAGGAAAGATCCCAGCTCCGTATATGCAGAAATAGCACTATGAATACACCACACAGGCAGCCTGAGATCTGTTTTGTTTTTGACACATATCAAGCTTTTTGGAAACAACAACTTCTTCTGATTACGTGCCCTCAATTTTCTGAAATATTCTGTTGGTCTGGGCGAGGTAGCACTTGTTTAAGAGCAGCTTCTGACTGACTGGCCGCGTTTATGGACACAGTTAAATCTCTATCATCTCCAGACCTCTTTTCTGAAACAAGAAGAGAAAAACCTCAAGTTGAGAAAGAAACATAAAAATAAGAAATTGTGTGTGTGTGTGTGTGTGTGACGGGGGGCCATGCTGCAGCATGCAGGACCTTAGTGCCCCCGGGCAGGATCGAACCCGTGCCCCCTGCAGTGGAAGCGCCGCGTCCTAACCCCTGGACCGCCAGGGAAGTCCCAAGAAAATTCTTTACATGGGTGCTACCGTGACAAAATTAATGTCCTCTAAAAATGGGGAGAGGGAAGAGATGAGCATTCTAATTACTACAGGGAATTATTCCGACTGACGTGATTTTTAAAAATATTTTGGTTCTCACATTGTACCTATTATCATGTAAAACTTCCCGAAAAAGATTATGAAATTGGTATATTTTATATTTTTCTAGGATGATATTTGGCAAGGCTGATAACCAATTAGTTCTTTGTTCTCTTTCATTAGTGTGTATATTTCACATAATACTAAAGTCAGCAAAAGCTGATTTCATTCTCCATGTGCCTCAGTGTGCTACTTACAAACAAGATCATGCAATAACCAGGAACATCCAAAAAACAGAATCATCACATACACTAAAAATCTCAAAAGAAATTCCAAGAGATTATTTAACAAAGATCATTTGAACATCTGAGCTAACACTGAAAAACTCCTTTAAAATATGTATTTATCATACACCTTCAAGATTAATTCAATCAACAAATTCCCTGTATTTCAAGAAATCTTCTTCTTGTTTACTTTTCACCATTTTTAGCTGAAGTGGTTTTTATTTTCCTACTGCTAACATCCATGGAAATGGATGAACCATTTTTACTTGAGAGATTCAGGGTAATCGTACCTTAAAGACTTGGCCATTCTGGTTGGTAAAAGTATTTTGTTTTAAAAACACAAGTTACCTTTGACCACAGTATCATCCAATGATAGGCAGTAAAGATCTTTTCCCACTATCTGGAATACAGCCTAACAAAAGAAACCTTTGGATTACTACCACTTCTTTATTGTAAATACAAAATAATTAAAATCAGAAAGGGGACCATAGATACACCAGAAAAATGGTGAACAACAAAAAGTAATCCTATTAAGACTATGCCAATTTGATTTTATAATGAAGAATAACGTCAAGTATATTTTCTATTCTTCAAATACCCATTTATCTGGAATATCTCCACTGTAGCATTCCATGCAAGGACTACAGTGTCCTTTTCCAATTTTCAGCTTTCAAGAGGTAAAGAAGGCCAATGAACAAATTCACTATATGTCCAACAAGAGGAGAAATGGTTTAATCAATCATGGTCTAGTAATGTCATGTAATATTATGCAGCTATGGCCTTCTGGTTGCAGCCAAGATGGAGTAAGCTGACTTACACTGATTACCATGGAAAATTCTGGAAAGAATACAAAAAGCAACTACTTGAGGCTTCTGAAAAGTAAATGCGATCAGAAATATAGAAGGACTGTAGTAAAAACTTGAATAACGACCCAAAACAGGGGTGAGTTTCACGCCAAATCACAGCTGCCAGGCTGGGGTGGGCAGCAAAACTGAGCGAAATCCCCTCTTTCTAGCCAGTGGAGTGGGGAAAGAGGCCCCGAATACTAAAGGGTGGGGCGTGGGGGGGGAAACCCCTTCACTGTTTTACTTTTTCTGCACAGCAGTCACAGTGCAGGCATCTACAAATCTGAGAGAAGACGCTGGCCAGTGGATTGAGGAAAACAGCCCTTTGTTATCTGAAGAGTCTAGAGGCAGGGGGTGGGGTGTGGGGGTTTTTTCTCTCTTTTCTCTATCTGCTTCACACCAGGCCTGTCAAACAGAGCTGCCTGGTCAGCACGCCGGGAAACACTGGGAGAAGCATGCTTTCTGGCCAGAGGACCAGGAAACGGG